ATGGTATTGAATTACACTAAGGGTTAGTGATGGGGTCTCTGGAGATGGATTTCTGAGAATTGTTCATTGTTGCATACTGTTTAATGAATTCTCTCTGTGACTACTCTATCATTATCACATCATTATTAGAACTATGTATCCACTGTTATCTTCGATAAAGTGTATTCCCTGAACACAATGGCATGGAGTTAGAGATGGTTGGGTTGGGGGGTCTCTGTAGGAAACCCGAGAATGGTTTATATTGCATATCATTTGATACTGAACAATACTCCTTGTATGGGTGATTCCATTATTTTCTTTTATGCTCGAGGGTGAGATCAACGGGGGGGGGGGGAGAATAGAATTTTCAAGACCTTGACCTTTGATCTTTTCTTTCCAAAAAGCATCTCTTAAGTCCTGTCCAGACTATCAAATTTGATTGGACAAAAACACGTGACATGCCTAAATATGGTCATGATGACATCACGTTAATAGCATATATAGGTACATCATGACTATATATAGGCATATAATAGTTTTTTTTCAAAGAAATTTGATGATGATCTATTCCTTAGTTTTTGCATAATTTTGCTAATAGACAGACAGACAGAATGACAGAGAGACAGACAGGGGTGAATATATGACCTCCTTGGTGGAGGCAATAACAATAGATTTGATAGAATCACTGCTGTTAATGCAAGATAAAGTTATTATCTGGACCATTCTAGATGACTGAATTATATCTCGTGCTTTCTACCAATTATACTGTGGCGCCGAGCAGTACGGACTTGTCTACTGCAAGCTACGAGCAACATTATTTAAAATATTAGTTAAATTACCCTGTAAATTGCTGATGCATGGCTGTTGATATAAGCGAAGCATTGTTTTATTGGCCCACTTTCAAACATGTCATAAAACACATTGTACTTGTTTCTACCAGATAAGATTATTTTATAAAAGATTCATATGTTTTTTTTCAGAATCTTGCATCCCTTGTTAAAAATGCTCTTTATAAATTCCTATATTAATTTATTATGTAATTTATTAGGTCATTCTTCTGTTGGATCGTTGACCTTTAAATAATGATGATTTTGCTCCACATGATAGGTTTAAAAGAGCATCACCTCATTAACCTAGTTTGGATACAAAAGCAAACATGTTAGCAGAATTTGTAACACCTTCACTCCCTGGCGAATTCTTTGAAACCTCTGAGATTTCAGTATTAGACCAGTTAAACACGATTTGCAAATCAGATAAACATATACAGTGCTGTTTATATTCCTGGGTGAACTGCTGTCATTTGTAATAGAATCTTGGAATTATTGATTATTAACATTATTTTGATGTTGTGACTGTTATATCAATTTTCAGTTTTTTTTTTATTTGAAGTATTTTTTTAAGTAAACTATTATCTTTGAATTTTAGAGACATTCATATTGCATCAGTTTCGAACGCTATTGGTTTAAAGCAAGTTGATCTTATTTCTTTCATTAACCAATCAGACGTACGCATTTCAGTTTTCTCTAGGCCAGTGACCCCGACCATCATCTTGATATTTGGATCAGGGATTTTCTTGTATGAATGCAACGGTGAGCGCATATGTTATTCATCTGGATGCTGCTAACCGTTAGATAGTGTGTGTAAACATAGGTGGGATGATTTAAAGCACTCCTATTGTCTGTACATTCTCTCAGGTTTTTTGTGATATATATGTAATTTACCCATATATGGCTGTGATATGACATCATGCCCATATATGGCTGTGATATGACATATGCCCATATATGACTGATATGACACCATGCCCATATATGGATGTAATATGATTTTGTCATGCCTATATATGGGCATTAAAAAATATTGTATGTGATTAATATTTACTATACTGTACACTAAAGGCTATGTCTTGTTGCTGTAAAAAAATAATGTTTAGCAGGATCATTGGACAGATTGAACTATATTCGTTCATTCATTCATTCTTTCATTCATTCATTCATTCGTTCATTCATTCAGTCATTCATTCATTTATTCAATAAATTAATCAATACTTTATTTTGAAAGAGATTTCCATACAACAAAATAAACAAAATGTACAATATATTATATACAGTATATGATGCCAAGTGTAAAAATGACTGTTGGAATGGTGATATATAAGTGATACAATTGATTGATATACTGTAATTATTTTAAATATACTTTCTTCTAAATAATAATAATTATAGGTTTATAGTGCACATAATGCTTAAAGCCTCTTTGCACTATATCTATAATTTGTTTTGATATTATTTATTTGAAATATTATTAGATAGAATCCCTTTGAACTACAGTGTACCTACACATAAAATAAGCGTGGTTGGCCTTTGACACGGGGGGTTCATTACCCCCCCCGTGTTCAGCTGTTTATATTTAATGATGCGTAGTGACAACAAGAGCCCTCCCACTTTAGTAGCCCCGCTAAAGACCACGAAATAAATAAAAAATCATTTTAATCCTGTAGGGAAATATTGAAGAGTGTAATGCATAAGGCTGGATGATGACATTTCACGCCTGTATTGAGTTGCTTCCGCGGGTTCTTGATCTTATTTTAAATACCGATGAATGCTTTCAAGATGATACCACGGCTGAGAAATTGTTGGGTTGGTTTAGGACATCGTCAGAAACAAAAGGTATGAAATCTATTTGAATGAATTATTCCTTTGTAATAAGTTTCATTGGTAGAAATATTTCTGAAAAGTAGGAGGTGTGGTTATGCCCGTGTTAGGCTTATACCCAGGGAACTATGGTATATTTTGCACATCCAGTATTCCAGATGGGTGCAATATATAACGCTGCTCTGATTGGTGGTTATGATGCTTGCCTACCTATCTTGGGGTCCTGTCACATTTTGCTAGAAAATACCAAATTTTTATCTCTTCATCTATTTATTTCAATACAGAATATTATTTGAAGTTAGTGGAACAGTCATCACCGGTCATAAAATTTATTTCTGATTGCGTCAACCATAAACCAGTAGCAACAAGAACAGCATTCACACTCAAACTACTAGCCATCTTGTGCGAGGGCGCTATCACCAACAAGTTTGACATTGTCAACTCCATTGCATTTTTTCAATGTAGCCAGAATGATGGAAGTCTATTTAACAAATCTATTAAAGAGACAGTTTTAGATGCTTCGCCGGTGATAGTAGGTCCTCCGAATCATCTTCTACAACTTAACCTTGAGTTTGCACGTGGGGTATTTTTATGGGAAAATGCATCGGTGCGTTGTGCCTGGTTTGACGCAGTAAGCAAGGCTAGTGCAATTTCATCATTTAATGTCATTCTACAGAGTGTTGGTAAGAATTTTTTTTACGTCTTTAATGGTTTTACCTTATCGGAAATTTATGTATTTGTCTTGCGTATTTAATTAAAATGTTAATTCAGGGAGTCGCAAATCCTTCGTAAATAGTCATGTGCCCTTGTGATAATTCTAATTTAACAGCTAATTAGCAGCAATTTGGTGATTAATATAATTTTTTAAAATTTAAGTAGGCCAAAGTTAACTAGGTTAAGTATAGTATACATCAAATAGGTTAATTTTAACTAGGTTAGGGTCTAATGCATTATGATCAATGTTTATTTACATTATAATACTTTTATCAATATTTATGAATTAATATCAGGCTCTGGAGGGGGAAAAAATTGATATGTAGTAAAACTAATATAGCTAAGACACAAATCATGTTTAACAAAATACTCGGGAATGGTTAATGAGATACAGATATTTTATTTAATATTTAAACCACCCTTCCCCCCCCCCCAACCCTTTCCTGCAGTTTTTAAATATTCAAAAATCTATCTCATTAACTGTCACCAATTTTTTTGTCAAATATGCTTTTCGCTTATGAAAAATCAGTTGTTCAACATATCAAAAGCCTGACTTTAATATAATTTTACTTTATTGCAATTGTACAGCCAGTTTTCAAATGTTTATATATTGGAAAAATAATTTTATATTATCTATTCATATCATATCATATCATACTGGTATTGTCTGAATATTAGAAAAATATACAAATACGTATATTTTTAGAAATAATGGTTTTCTTTTTTTTAATAAGGAGCGTTTAATGTAGCATGGAACTGCCTGAATGATTCATCAATGTTTGTGAAATCAGCCGCTGAAGATTTCCTGGCAGTTGCGAGTCTAGACCAATTTCGGACTTCCCATCTGGATGCTCCAATCCGAGAGCAAGTTGTGGTGGATACCACAGAAGCCTCAGTACGTGAAGGTCATTCAGATTGCACAAAAGATGCGGATATCGCTTGCCCTCAACGAAAGGAACACTTCAGTTCTGAAATATTTCAAAAACTGTTGATGGTAATCACCGTCTCCTACCCTGAACCCAGCCGTGAAATTGAACCAGACGGTATCAATGAAAAGTTTCGGCCAAAATCTGCTATTGAAATTATACGCAAGATGTTGAAACACGACGCTAGCCTATGCTTGCTGGCTACTAGTCAGAACCGCATGGTGGTGCAACTCTGTGCTTTTCTTACAGGTGGTGCATCAAACAATACAGCCTTTGATGTTGTGGACTTGTTAACAGAGCTTATGTCTTTGTCACCGTAAGTAATCTATCAGCATACAAGCCTATATTACAATTGTTATTAGCTGTATTTTTTATTTACATCAACCGGCGTAATTAGTACCGAAGGATTTAAAATGATGCATGTGTTAGACAGCATGTGGTGTTGATGTATTGTATAACTTATTGATTGTGTATACATTTTTTTTTTTGCCAAACATACAGAATAATTGATTGAGCAATAAAGTAATTAATCTTTTTATAATTATTTAATCTCCACAATCATATTTATTATGTACTAAATTCCTCTGTATGCTGTTATATTATGTATAATTTTCTTTATAAAATATTACATTTTTTGTTTTAACTCGATTCAAATGAACCTTTATGCTTTTTTTAAAAATAATTTTTCATTTTTTTTTATTCCTATGTTCAATTTTGAATAAAAAAATAACATTTTATTTTTGGCCAATTAACGCACATGCAGCCACGTAAAAACGGAAATTTAAAAAAAAATTTAAAGTTTTTCTTTATTTTTTTTTATGCCCGCCGCTGCTTTGAAGTCTCCAAAAATAAGATGTGTATACTTCTTCCTAATTATATAAATTTAAAGAATTTAACCATGCCATTACTACACTCTTTGCATTCAATATTTTATTTTTATTTACTCCTTCATCTGGATGTTTTTGGCAAAACCATTTGCTAAATAAAAAAACAAAATTTAATTTTTATTTTTTATTCGCTCTTGTCTGACAATGATTAAGAATATAAGTTTGCGAAACAAAGTATAATAAGTCTCGCCTTCAGACATGACATTGCTCTTAATACTATAATTGCATTTATACTCAAACCCACATCGTGAACACTGTACTATTAATTTTTTCCTCTGTTTTTTTAATATGGGTGTTGTTTTATAACAGTGTATTTTTTGGTTTTTTTTTGTTTTACTGACATTTATGGACGCACTACCTGGTTGTTTGTGCTGTTTAAATATCGTTAATATCCAAATTAAAATGATTGATTGATTGTTTCTCCAAAGTCACCTTAATTTGCCCAACTTCTCAGTAAACACTGCCCACAGATATTATATATTGCATATTAGCTGACAGATTTGTTTTCCAACAGATTTTCGGAAAGGTTGAGCATTTGTGAAATTCTGCAAGATGTTCCCAAGACGCTGCTTTACCGCCAAAATGAGGCACTGTCTGCAAGTTATCTGGCTTCTGCTCTTTGGCGGCTCGAGACTAGAAGGTAATGATGCAAATATTTTGATTCAGCAATTTTCTGGATGACTAATATCTATAATGTAGATTTTTAGTTCCTATGCATGTAATGCAATAGGAACTATTGTAATCACTCTTGCTATTTCCTATGTTTTTTATTGTGTGTAGTGTGTATGTGTGTGTGTAGACATTTATGCAAATGCGCATGCGTCAAAGAAAAGTTTTCCGACATTTTGTTTTACATCGCGATGCGAAGATCGATGTGAAGTTTCTGCACAGTTCAGTCAGGGTTCACGCTAACCGACCGGAATGTCGGCATGGATGAAACTATTTTGGTTTTACGGCAAAAAAATCATCTGCTGTAGGCATAGGTACTGTCTCTTATACACATCTAGATGTGTATAAGAGACAGGTGCGGGATAATGTCCAGGGAATGCGTGTAAAGGAAGATGTCGTTGACTATGCTCGCTTCAAATGGCCGCTCCTATTTTCAAGATTCTATGAAGCCTATAAATTCTCTGGACCAAGTCTGCCAAAGAATGATGTGATCGTTGCAGTTAACTGGACAGGGGTGTATGTGGTGGATGATCTGGAACAGGTGTTACTGGTATAAGCTAATGTAGGCTCCGGAGGAAATTTTTTTTTGATATGTTGTAGAACTGATTTTTTCTAAGACAATAAGCATATTTGATGAAAAACTCGGAAGCGGTTAATGAGATACATATTTTGTATATTTAAAATCGGTGGGGAGGGGGGCAAATGGGGCATAACCACCTTTTTTACAACCTTTTCCTTTTACAACCTTTTCCTTTTCCCCCAAGTTTTTAAATATTCAAAAATTTGTATCTCATTAACGGCTTCTAAGTTTTTTGTCAGATACGCTTTTGTGTCTTAGAAAAGCCAGTCATAAAACATATCAACAAAATTTGTCCATCTGAGCCTGGCTTCAACAAGGATTAAATATTCTATTATTTTAACTCTCCCATTGTTCTTCTCCAGTTTTACCAACTCAGTGTTGTAGCATACCTAGTGTAGCATAGCTTTCACTACTCAGGTTTTACACTGTCTAAGAAGCAAAATCAACTCAGCTTTCACTACCCCAATGTTGCACTACCATAGTGTAGCGCTGCCATGGGGTGTAGCCATTAAAAAGTTTATAGTGTTGTAACCTAGAATATTGTAGCATTACTTTCACGACAAAGTGTTGTACTATTCAAGCACTACTTTGGAGTGTAGCAATATGGACTTGGCTTTTGTTGGGCTTGCGTCGCCTCCGTATCCCAGTGTAGGATTTCACTATGGCGCACAGTAGAACCATAACCAATATTTAGCAGCTACCCAGTGTAGCACAACTTTCCCTATCTAATGTAGCACTACCCTGGAGTATAGCACTACCTTGGGATGTAGCATGGTTGCTACTAATTGTAGCAGAGCTTTCTCTTTATCCAGGTGTTAGGCTACCCAGCATTGACTATCAACATACTGTAATACTTATAACCCACACTCACCAGCACTATCTAGTGTAGCACTACCCAGGAGTGAGTTTAGCGCTACCCTGAGGTGTAGCATCATCAAACATATTTGTCGCAGAGCTTTCTCTATATTCAGGTGTTATACTACTCAGCATTGACTATCCACATTCTGCTTTACCTTGGGTGTCTAATGCATTCCTAAGCAACTCCTATATGGCGAACTGAGCTCAGGTGAAAGATCATGTAGAGGTTTAAAAACACTCTAAAAATATTGTTAAAACAATGCAACATTGATGCGGTCTCATTGGTAAAATAAGCGTTGGATAGATCCTCTTGGATGAACAGACTGAAGGACGGAATGAAAAACATTTTAGCAGAAGCGCATCTCTCGCGCTAAAGGAAAGCGTGCAGCAAAGAAGGTCAACTGAATACCAGTGTCACGAATGTGGCAGACACCACACCTGTCAAGTCTCACGCATCTTGCAGGAGTCTCACGCATTTAACTTTTGACCTCACACCCTCATGCATACTTTTTTAATGTGCTATTTTCTCGAAACATGTACAAACACGACTATTGGCGCTAGCGATGCCGTAGCGATCATCACATTGTTAGACTCCGCTTCAGTAGAAACTGAAGGAAACTAAATGGGATATCAAAGTGGCACTTTGTATCAATGTATTCACTGCAGAGGTGTATGTTATATCGATGCTTGACTGTATTTTAATTAAGGTTTGTGACCTCACGCATAGCTTTCAAAAAAATTGCCTATTTTTTTTAAGCAAATCCAGAAGAAATCTCAAGCAAGCCTCTGTGAGATCCTTGACAGGTCTAAGACACTTCAAAGCAAACATCGGCCTCATAAGTCACAAATGCGCAGACATCTAGAAGTAATTACTTCTCATGCTATGGAACTGCCTATACTTCTTTTTTTGTTTTAAACTTTTTTACGTACCAGTACGCTGGTTTATGATGTTAATCTTTTATTCTTGATGTTGTAGTGATCCTGATCCAAAAGTCAAACTACTACCCACACTAACATATAGAATTTAGGAACCCCATTAAAAGAATGTAACTTGGGTTTGTTAAGAGTTAATGATGAACTAATTTGCATAATTTTCCTGTCCTTAACAGCTTTTATGTTTACTTTGAAGACACTCAAACGAGTCATCATTATTCTTGCTACGATCTCAATGCTCTGCATTAATAAATTTGCCGCCAAAATATGGAAATCTTTTAATTTATAGTCTTCAAGCAAATCTTTGGCAATCAGTTCTGTAAAATGAATTTTAGAAGCTGATCATATCATTTTGTTTTTTGTATCGCTGCAGGCAAGAATCTGAATCAACTAATGAATATTAAATCCAGGCAATTATTTTCTTGATTAGGAAGAATCTTATACCTACCACGCAACACCCTCTATATTTCAACTTTTGCTTGATTAAGATGAGGCAAAGCAATATTATGAAATGTGTTTGTACAAAAAAAAAGGATTCCAATGATATTTTTAAATACTGTTTCCCTAGAGAAATATTACTTGCTTGAATGAATATTCAAGATATGCCTATAAACTTCACAATATAATTGGAAAGACAGACAGAGTAATTTATTTTATGCATTTTCTCAAGTAAGTTATTACACAAAACTATTTAATGTATGTTGTCAGGATCTTATTAACAATAATTGAATTTTTTTATGATTAAAAAAAAATGTTATGATGATTTTATTGTTGGAGAATATAGGATTGTTGAAAGAAAAAAAAAACATGCATTTTAACATTTGTCCAAATCAGTTATTACATTATAAATTTACTCAGTTTTATTTTCACATTATATTTTACTGCTGTCTTGAGTGCAATCTATAAATTGTTTAACATCTTGAGCGTTGTGGTGTTGGGTTCTTCATAAGTACCCAGGTTTATAACAGTCCATTCAATTCAATTTATTTCTATAAAACATATATATATAAATATTGTGATACAACATTTCAACATACTATATATAATTTTAATACTAATAATATATTTATTTTGAAATGAAAAGCTTGATCACCTGCGCAGGTGTTTTTAACCAGACTGTTTTAAAGTAAGTAAGTAAGTAACTTCTCTTTAAGTAATTATACGTCTACTACTGATTGTCTATCCCGTGCTAGATGACACTCAGTTTTTTTACTTTCAACCAAAATTATGGACTAAGCTTCCTGATAATACTAAAAATATATACATTCTTAACAGCTTCAAATATAATTTTAAAAATCTCTGATCTCTGCATATATGCCTAAACACCAATTAAATTTTTTTTTTGTCAAATGTGATTTATATAAAGTAATGAAAAACAATGAAAAATCATTTAAGGAAAATCAACAAACATGTATCTGACAACAACAGGTTGGTAAAAAAATTTTATTTTATTTTTTTTTTTTTTTGCTTGTACTTATCAATTTGGAAATTTGTAATCGGTTCTGGCAAAACCTTACATTTGTTGGTAAAATTTCAAAATTAGATTTTGGTATTACAAAATTCTATATGGTGATTATTTTTTTTTTTTTTATTTCGTATTCCAATAAGATTTGCTTAGATATTAGAGAAGTTATGATTATTTTAATACTCCTTTTAGGATTACAGATTTTTTTCAATATTAGGTAAACAAAATGTACTCTTTCTTGTGGCCACTCGTGCAACTGTTCTCTCCCCTTGAAAGAAAACTTAATAGATGATATTGTCAATTTGAGATCATAGGTTTTATCTTACCTAATAGTATACTTACTTACCGGTTTCTTCATCTTTTTTGCTCATATGACAAATTTGCGATGGTTGGCTCCTGGCGAATTATTATTATACCTGTACATACACTGTTAACCTCTTTTCCTTAAATATGTTAATTGCAAAAAAGTAAATGGCCCTTAATATTAGAGCATTAATAATGGCCTACTTATCACAAACTGCATTTTATAAATTATGAAAACGGGTTAATACGAGTGAATCAAGTAGATAACATTTGAGTTCACAATGAGATGCAAGTTTGAGTAGAAATTGAACCACTTATGCAAGTTACAATCGGGTGACTCCTACTTTTACAGTGATACTCTCATTTTAACCATTATTATTATTATTATTATTTCTAGACATACTTTAAAAGTTAAATCAAGGCAATTCAACAAAAGGACGCACATCTTGAGACATCAAAGAATATAACTCTGGCATTGACATTTTACGTGCCGCGCGACCCTACACACTAATTGTCAAAAAAACCATAGCAACCAAACCATAATTAAAAATCAGCATGTGACAATTACCCACGCGTGTGTCGGTTGTCATGATAATCGTGCGTCGTACGGTGGTTTTACAAAGGCCTAATGAATTTTTGCATTGACGTTGGACTGAAATTATATGCGGTGGGGTTACAAAGGCTAGGTGAACCTAATATGGATAAAGATTGCTTTTCTTTTCTGAGAAATAAAAGGTTAACGGATTACGTAATAAATCCTTAATTATTCCAAATTGTAAAGATTCCAAATGAATGGAACTTAAGTATAATTGTCCCAATCTTCAAAGCAGGA